CATTATCATTCTCATTGTTGAGTTATTGGTGTTGAAGTTGTGAAAGTCGTTATCACGTTGAGATGAAGTGTTAATTGTTGAGATATCCTTCTTGTTGAGAAATTTACATTCATTGCTTTTGATATCTTATACACATTGTAGTTGAGCCATGGGCTATTGTTGTGGAAACATTGATATTGTTGATTATTGACAAGTTGTGGAACATGGGCACTTGTGGTATGAGTTGTTATGATATACTATTGACATGCATGCGGAGGTATAAGTCTAGGGGTTAATGTGCATGCGGCGACATAAGGTGGGACTTATGTGCGTGTTCCTTGTAAGGGGATTACGTGAAGCCACGCGACGTCATAAGGTGGGCTAAAGTGCGTATAGCTATTTCGGAAAAACTGTTTTCAAAACTATTTAAATGTAAGGTTCACGCGATGGTATAAGGAAAGATTGTGAATATTGAATACGAGGTGGTACCTCGGTTGTGAATCTTGATATATACACACGAGACGGTACCTCGGTTGTGACTCCTATTGTACACGATGTGGTACCTCGTTGTGATTCTTATTGTTTATCTCATGTTGCAAAGAGTTTTGGTGGGAACACTTCATGTTGTTTTGTTCTTCCTTGTTCTATCAGTCATTGTCCGTATATAATCATTGTGATTCTCTTTAATTGATTTCTTTATTCCATGCTTACAATTCTGATATTAGTTCATGTTATTAACTTGTTTCGTATTAGTTATTTCTTCTCCTTCTATTATTTATCCTTATTATATTTTCATACTGTTTATTTCTATCTAGTAGGTGTCTTGACCTAGCCTCGTCACTACTCTACCAATGTTAGACTTGATACTTAATGGGTACCATTGTGGTGTACTCATACTACGCTTTTGCACATATTTTTGTGCAGATCCAAGTACGTCTGCTCCTGCGGGACGTTAGTGATCTACTGCTAGTTGCTTACGGAGATGTCAAGATATGCCTACTCTACATCCGCAGGCCTCAGAGTCACCTTTATTTACCTTTACTCATGTTGTATTTTTCATTCACACAGTGTTGCAGTAGACATTTTAGCTTACTTTGTAGAGCTTATAACCCAGTTCCACCGGTTTTGGAAAAGTGTTTGTTGAGATTCTGTTTTGGGAGATTTTATGAGTTTATCAGACTTGTTTTAGTATTTCTGTTAATTAGTTTTGTCAACCTATTATTGAATGTTAGACTTATCTAGTCGTAGAGACTAGGTGCCATCACGATATCCTACAAAGGGAAATTGGGGTCGTGACAAGTTGGTATCAGAGCTCTACGTTCATAGATGTTACGAGTCATAAACAAGTTTAGTAGAGTCTTGCGAATTAGTACGATGACGTCTGTACTTATCTTCGAGAGGCTACAAAACTGTTAGGAATACTTCACTTCTTTGATTCTTTATCATGCGAATTGCTTGACTTTGAAAACTGAATCTTTGACTTCCTATTCTCTCACAGAGGGTGAGAACACGCATTGTTGGATCCGATGATTAGACATCCGCACCCTATGCTAGAGCCGCGAGAGGCCGGGGTCGGGGCAAAGGCCAAAGAGGGGTACATGGTGCAGCTAGAGCACCTGCCTAAGCTGTGACAACGGAGCCGCCAGTAGCTCCGGTTGGGGGGCAGGCACCCGAGGTGCCTGTTGCGACCCCTGCACTTCGGGAGACCCTCACACAGTTCTTGAGCATGTTCGACACCTTAGCTCAAGCGGGGTTAATTCCACTTGCACCAGCCACATCTCAAGCTGGGGTAGGAGCTTAGACTCCCACGGTCCGTACCCTAGAGCAGTGTGTCCATGTTGATCAGGTCCTAGAGGTTATACCAACACAACTTATTATTTCGGTTCAGCCTGCGGTTAGGGCAGCAACATCTGAGGAGGAGGAGCTTAGACTTGATAGGTTCAAGAAGTATAACCCTTCTAATTTTAGTGGTTTGGTTTCAGAGGATGCACATGGTTTTCTAGATGAGTGCTGCCGTATTCTCCGTACTATGGGTATTGTGGAGACTAGTGGGGTTGCTTTTAGTGCATTCCAGCTGTCGGCTGCAGCATATCAGTGGTGGCGGGTTTACGATAAGGGTAGCCTAGCCGATGCAACTTCACTTACATGGACTCAATTTTTAGAGTTGTTCTTAAGAGAGTTTGTTCTTCAGACCCTTAGGGATGCATGGCACGCGGAGTTAAAATAGCTGTGCTAGGGTACTATGGTAGTGTCAGAGTATGTTGTTCGATTTAGTAATTTTTCTAGACTACATGCACCCGTTTTGGTTTCTATAGTTAGAGAGTTAGTCTGTCTATTTATCGAGTGGCTCAACTATGGTAGTAGATTCAGCACGACTCGAGAGTTAGAGACAGATACCCCATATCAGCAGGTGATTGAGATTGAACGGAGATTGAAGGGTATGCGGGGCTGTGAGAGAGAGGACAGAGATGCCAAAAGGCCTCGAGATACTGGAGGATTTAGTGGTGTCCACGCCGCAATTACATCCCATCATGGTAGAGGCCATGTGAGTCGTCCAGTTCCCTCGACACTTCTAGCTTTTAGTGGTGCTATGGTTATTCCGAGGTCTCATGTTGCACACTTTGCTCAACCATTTCTAGTGCACCTCTTGCACGAGGTGCCTTTAGCGATCAATCTAGCTGACCAGGACCGAGCCAGTCCTAGAAGTCATGCCCATCGAGAGCTTGCTTTGAGTGTGGTGATACATGTCACATGGTTAGAGACTCCCCCAGATTCAAGAGGGGTGCACCTTCATAGATTACTCAGGATCCATAGATTCAGTTAGGTCTACAGACTTCTCAGGCCGTGGTTGTTGCCCTAGTTGCCGCTCTACCCGCACATCCAGTTAGGGGTGGGGGACGGGCGAGTAGATGTCGCCCTAGAGGGGGAGACTAGACCAGATTCTATGCTTTTCCGGGTAGGACGAAGGCAGTTGCTTCAGACGCAGTCATTACAGGTATGGTTCTGGTTTTCCATAGAGATGCATCAATCTTATTTGATCCGGGATCCACTTATTCATATGTGTCATCTTACTTTGCTTCGTATTTGGATATATCTCATGATTCTTTGAGTTCTCTTGTTTATGTGTCCACACCTGTGAGAGATTCTATTATTGTGGACCATGTGTATCGGCCGTGTTTAGTTGTAATTAGTGATTTTGAGACGAGAGTTAATTTTTTGTTACTTAGTATGGTAGACTTTGATGTTATCTTGGGCATGGACTGGTTGTCGCCCTATCATGTTATTCTAGATAGTCACGCCAAGACTGTGATATTAGCTATGCCAGGTTTGCCATAGTTAGAGTAGAGAGGTGCATTGGATTATGTTCCTAGCAGGGTTGTGTCATTTCAAAAGGCTCAGCAGATGGTTGAAAAGGGGTGTGATGCTTATCTAGCCTTTGCGAGAGATGTCAGTGCTGATACTCTTACCGTTGAGTCAGTTCCGATAGTGAGAGACTTTCCAGATGTATTTCCAGCGGATCTTCCTGGCATGCTGCTCGATAGGGGTATCGATTTTGGTTTTGACTTGTTGATGATGAAAGGGAATACTTAGCTCCCATTTGGCCATAAAAAAATTGAGATTTTATTTTCAATAATATTTGTTTATTTATAGATTTTAACTATTTTTAGCTTATTTTGAAAACAAAATCTTCAAATCCCAAAAACAGCTCTACAGATAAAGTATGTTTATTATAAACTCGAAAAGATCTACTATTGATAGAATAACCCAGAAAGATACCTTAGTCACTCCTTGGATTAAATTTTTCAAGATTGTCCTTACCGTTATTGTGAATGAAACACTTACTGCCAAATGGATGAAAGTAGTCTATGTTGGGCCGTTTCTCTTTCCATAATTCATATGAAGTTGTTTTCAAAATAGGTCTTATAAGACATCTGTTGAGAATGTGGCAGGTTGTGCTTACTGCCTCTGTCCAAAAGTGATTTGGCAGGGAATGTTCTAATATCATTGTTCTAGCCATATCTTGAAAAGTTCGATCTTTTCGCTCAACTACTCCATTCCATTAAGGTGATCTTGGAGCTAAAAAATTGTAGGTATATCCTTGATCATTCATGCTTTCGAATTCTTCTCCATGGTCACTTTGGATGTTGTAATGAGATACAATTTTTCTCTTTCAACTCTTTTACAGAAAATCTCAAAGTTTTTCAAAGCTTCACTTTTACGAAAAGAATAAAAGTGACTCATTTAAAGAAAAACAAATACTAAATGACGAAAAATAGAGCTGAGCTATACTACTCTTGCGTTGCAATTTCATAGTTTCACTTTGACTAAGAATCTTTAATTTAATAAAACAAATAATTTGATCTGTTATAGTATACAACAACAAAATTATTACCTCACTACTCTATATTAGTGACGGATTAGCTATTTCAATCTTTATACTTTCTTCGATAGTGTCGGAGTTAAAATTTTCACTAAGAAGTATCAATCTATAGTATATATACATAAAATAATTATTTTTATCTAGCAATACAAAGCAACTTTCCGGCGAAAGAGTGTTGATTGATACCCCTTGGTTGACAGAGTTCATTTTATATGCCATTTTAGCCAATATTTTCCAAATTAAATATTGGGAAATGAAGAAGGTATTAAATCCCCCCATACCTTTACAATTTTTTAAAAGTCTTATGCTATTTACATTTACTAGATTAAAAAAAAAGTAATTTAGTCAACATCCAAGAGTGTGATCCAATGAACACACTTTGGATCAAAGATAGTATGATTTATATGTATGTGGTTAACTTCTTGCGCTAATATATTAAGAAGAAAAATATGATCATCTTTTTTTCTTCTTTCTTTTTGCGAATATAGAATGTAAGACAAAAAAGGTGCAACTGGGACATTTTGTATTTCCAAGATACAGCCAGACGTGACATTTTTGTTTATTTTAATGAATAAATGTGCGTTAGTTACGGGGGAAGTCAATTCAAGATTAATAACACCAGATTGATTCGTACCATATGGTCCTTTTCAATGTCTTCCTCATCTCACAACAAACTCATTACAAGCCTTACTTACTATAAGTAAAACATATACTATCTACATCCATACTATCTGTGAGATCTGCTTATTTTCAAGTCCACCCAAAAGTCCAAAATCAGTGATTAGAAGAGTCTAAAAAGTTAGAAGAAGAACCCCCCCCCCCCCACACACACCAAAATCATGGAAATTGTAGGGAAGTTGCAGAACCAGTTTATGGAGTTCATGCGATCTCTCTATCGTGAGGTAAGCTTGTAGTCTTCAAGAAAGTTTAACCCCTGAAAAAAGATGCAATTTTTATCTCTTTTCCCCCTTTTTTTGGGTAATTCAGTAAACAAAGTTCAAAAGACGCAGTCTTTATCTTCTTCATCCCCCCTTTTCATGTTTGTTTTGATTTGGGTATATCTTGGTTTGAGGCTATTTCTGATGAGGGTTTTTTTCGCTGTTCGAAACACAAAAGGGATTCTTGGATGATCAGTTTCTTCAGCTTCAGAAACTGCAAGATGAGAGCAACCCTGATTTTGTGGTTGAAGTGGTGTCCCTTTTCTTTGACGATTCCGAAAAACTTCTCAACAACCTGGCCATGGCTCTGTGAGTTGTAGTAGTAGTAGTTTTTTCTTATGATTATTCTAGGTTAGCTTGCCTTTTCTTTGTTTAGTTGAATTTTTAAAGAGTTGGCTGAATAGATTTGTAATTCTAATTATACAGGCAGCAGCAGGTAGTGGATTTTAAGCAGGTTGATGCTCATGTACACCAATTTAAGGGTAGCAGTTCCAGGTATCTTAATTCTATATTGGTAGGACTATTTGCTATATAGTAAACTGGCTTCAATTGATGCTTAACCATTCAATTTGGTTATTTCCGTCTATGTGGACAAGTAATAGATAGCTAAAAGCTAAAAACTTTAATTCAGTCAAGGATAGACCTAGGATTCTGCTTTTCCATTTAAATTTATTTATGTTTGGAATTTTGTGTAAGTTCTGTCAGGTAGGTCGGTGGTATCTCTAGCTCATTGTTTGATTAGAAGCCCTATTTTTGCTTTGCAGCATAGGTGCACAAAGAGTAAAGAATGCTTGTGTTGCTTTCAGAAATTTTTGTGAAGAGAAGAATCTTGAAGGGTGAGTTTTGTTTTATGCTCTTATAAGTGTAATTCTTTCCTTCACAGAGTTGGATTCCGAGAAAAGTCATACTCCAAAAATGCATGGCTGCTTGATTTAGTAAAGGAGTTCTTTGGAGGATAAAATTGTGTAGTCTACCATGTACTTTGTTGGCAATTGTAGTTATGCGCTCGTAGTCACTACTTTATTTTATGGCGTAGTGACAACATCCATGACTATCCTACCTTCCATCACAGTGATCAGTTGTTCATCCGGAGTCCGTACTTAGTTACATATTGAGAGACTCAATACATTCTTCTTGGATGGTGGCCTTTTCAATATATATTCTATTTTCAGTTTAAGTAATTTGTGGTCATCATGATTCCCATATAATTTCTGTATATATAAATTTTAATATAAAAATCAAGTTGATCTTTGTAAACTTGACTAGGTCATGTAAAATGGGGTGGAGGTGGTATGAGATTTACGTATG